TGGGGTGGGGGAGGGGTGGGAGGGAGAATTAGGCAAATAGAAAACTAAATTCTAGAGGCAAAAAAATATTTGTAGACTAGTAATATGGCACAGGCCTTTAACCTCAGCACTCAGGAGTCAGAAGCAGACAGATCTCCAAGAGTTCACGGCCAGCCTGATTCACACAGGGAGATTCAGGCAACCCAGAGCTACACGGTGAGACCTTGTCTCAAAAAAAAAAAAAAAATTGTAATCATGTACCTGGTAAGTCTCCCTTCCAGACTATATTAAGAATTAAAACACAAATTTAAAATTTGCAAAATATTCAAACAGGTACTTCTTCATTAAAAAAAAAAAATTGTGATGTTCCAGCACCCAGAGGCAGAGATGGGAGTTCAAGGCCAGCTGGATTACATCTTAAATTCTAGACTAGCAAGTCTAGACATAGTAAGACCCTGTCTCAAAAAAAATGTAAATGCTACTCATTATAAATACTCATAGAAATCAATAAACCTGCACAAAGGCCATAAATCCAACCTCTTGGGCTATGCAGATTGTGTGTCCCTTATCATTTGAGGTTTTAAAAAAAATCTTAATATCCATAAGATATTTTTGGAGTGGGACCTAAGTCTACACATAAAATACACTTAATTTACCTACTTATTTGTAGGGCTGGGTATTGAACCCAGAGCCTCAAGGGGTGCTGGGTATGCATGTACCTGAGTTACACAGCCCCCTTCAGTTAGGAGTCATATATGCTTCATACATATAGCCTGAAGGCAATTTAATACACTATTTTTATTCATTTGTGCTTGACTGAGACTCCTCATGTGCAGCCAGGCGTGGAATTCCCCACTTGTGGCATATTAGTACTCAAAAGCTCAGCAGATGGAGCAATTCAGAAAGACGAGGTTTTAAGATGAGGGACATTCAACCTGTACCCAAGAGACATATCTCCACCATTTGGGGCTGGAGATATGCCTCAGCAGTTAAGAGCAAGTACTGCTCTTGCACAGACCCCCATTTCAGATCCCAATACCTACTGGAACTCCAGCTCCAGGGGGGATCCCAGCGTCTCCAGCTTCTGCAGGTACCTGCACTTACCTGTATGGAACTCATGCAAACACACACACACACACACACACACACACACACACACACACACACACACGCATGCATCATGGAAATAAAGTAAATTCAATTGAAAGAAAGAACATCGTAGCAATTCAATTTGTAACGGTCCAATATTGAAAGCATCTCAAATGCTCATAAAAAATAAAATGGCTCAAGTGTTAGTCATGAATACTGTTGAAGAGGGGCAAATAAACTTCCTGTTAATAGCCAGAAAGTAAATACTTTAGGCTTTGTGGGTCAGATGGTCCCACAGTAATAAACACAGAAACAGGCTTTGGCCATGTTCCAATAAAAGTTGCTATGTGAAAATATGAAATGGGCTGGAATAGGTTAATAGTTTGCCAGTCCCATATATAAAGGGGGGGGGACCTTATAATGCAGTATGAATGGCATTCAGGAACACAATGTGAGGGGGAAACAAAAAGAAAAGGAAACTACATTTTTCAAGTTCCTGATGATTGAAATCAAGACAGTAGAGTGGGGAGTCAGTGCTCCATAGGAAGGAGCAGGGATGAAAAGGGCCTATGACCTCATCTGGATAGTCACACAGGCATATATATACATTAGGCATTTCATCGGGCCACACCCTTTATTTTTGCCTTTTCCATACTTTGTATTTGCAAGTACATTGTAGCTCAATTTGGAGAAAAGGGCAAATTGAATGACTAGAATATTGATCTAAAGAAATAATATCCAGAATTCAACAGGGCTTAAAAAATATAAAAGCCAGATTAAAAAAAAAATACATGAAGGAGTTTTATGTGGTTCCTAACGAACAGGAAAAAAAAAATGTAGGTGCTCAGGGGAGAATGGAATCACGGGGAAAACTTCCCAGGCTTGAAAAAGAAACTTCATCTCAAAGTGTCAAATATGTGTGCACACAATACACACATTAGCTTGTCCAGAAAGCCTTTGATTTCACATTCTTTGTGATCATATAAGGAACAATTAAGACCAGTCAGCAGATCAGTGGTATTGACATATGTGCTGACTGGGGAGCAGGTTGGAAGTCAGGAACAAGTGGGACACTTCGCCAGCCTTCCACATTGGAGCTAGAGAATATCTCTGAAGACTCTCACAGTGAAAGGAAAAAATAAAAAAAAAAATACAAGGAAAACATGTTTAATTCTTAAAACAGGACCACATACTACATGCAAAGCAACAGCATATAAAAAGCTGTCATATTTCCAGATGACAAATGGGTACAGAGCCCAGAAGCAAGCCCAGGCTAATCTGAGCATCGCTCATAGCCAAGGGGGCACACCAAGCCCCTGGCATAGGGACAATTGCCTTCCTAGGTGAAAAAAAAAAATGCAGTTAATCGTGTGTTACCTTTACCACATCAACAAAACCTACACACACGTACACCCACATGTGCATGAGCTCCATAGCTGTGAACAAAACGCAAACTGTAAACACTTCAGAAATCACTGTGGAATCAATTTCATTAACAGCCGAGGTTTTTTGTTTTTTTTTAATAAATCAAGACACACACGCCACAGAGATGAAAGTCTGTTTATTTATTTGAAAGTTTCTTCAACCACGACCTGCATCCAGAACGATGTTCCCCATGAGACATGTGTGCAATGTTGGGAATGTCCTGGTCTGTAGTGTACAAGTGTGTAACATAATAAAATATAAAGTTACATGTGGAGGTTGCGCACTAGAAATCTGGCCCGAAGCCACTGAATAACTGAAATTGAAATAAATACCACAACATGCCAGCATTTTAAAACCCAGAGTGAAGGGTTACACAATTTTTGTGCTTTGTTACCTTTTTAGTATTTATATTTTTCATAACAAAAACCTCATTTGTGCTTAAATTGCTTAATTAAATTAAAGTTACTTTAAAAAAGAGCACATTGAATGATTTCAATTTTCTTTTAAGTACTTTAAAAAGTACATTAAAATTTTTAATGTATAGAAATACATAATGGATTTAATGAATAGCAATGTGCCCACCAAAGAAATTATGAAATGCAATCTTAATGCTGTTATGTTTCCTAGGTAACTCTCCCTGATCAAGACTCTTTATGACGCAGTGGAAAATATGAGATTTCAAGCCCTGGATTCAGGCCCCTTCATTTTCTTTAATATATTCTGGGGGGTGGGGGTTAACATTTAGACCTACGTGTATCATTTAACAGTTATTAATCCTGAAACGTGGCTCAGGTCACTGGCAACTGGTCAAGAGATGAGGCATTTTCTAGCTTCCCAGGAATCCTTCCTTAGTGCTCCCTCACACCCACTGGCTCCCCCCAAGGGAGGTGACCATTAACAACGTTCATTGCATTAATTTACATTTTTCCTTTTGTGATTTTTAATATCTCTGCGCTTCCCTAAACAATGGCTTTGCTTGCCAGCTTCTGAATTTCACATAGATGAAATCATGCAATATTCAGTAACTTGGTTTTTTTTTTTCCTCCTCAACACTGAGAGGCGTCTGTGTGGAAACACAGACGTGCCTCGTTCGCTCTTGTACCGTGTTCCATTTTATGACTGGTACATAATTTATGTTTCCCCGTCAGATGGACATGAAGGCGTTGTCCAGCTCTGTGGTACTACACAGTAAGCCTTCTTGTACATGTCCTCTGGTGCATATAAAAATGTATCTGGGGCAGTGGCTTTTAAACTTTTTTGACCATGACTCATAGTAAGGAATGACATTTTAGAAAACCATTACACACGCATGTGTGTATAAAACTAAGAGGGGGGGGTGATCATAAAACAAAGACCCTCTGGCTTGAGACACATTCTGACATTTTCTCCATTTGCGATTTTCATTTTTTTTTTATCACTCTCTACTTAAATGATTGCGCAACTCACAAATACGAGCTTCACATTTGTAACAACGCTCCTCTGTAGGATGTGTACAGAGGCACGGGACCGTGAGGTCGAGAAACGCAGATGCCAAATGTCGTCAACTCCGATTCTTGACTGAAATGAACGTTCTCATTTACTAGTATGTAAATGTCCCGCTGTTTTTAGAGCGAAAACCGCAAAACAACAGATTTTATCTTGTTCATACGTCACTAAAATATTAATCACTTACCATGTGCTAAGTAAGCAGCCGGAGACTCCAACCCTAGACCGATGGGTTAATACGCAGAAGGAAAAGGAAAAGTGTGGGGGGGCACACTTCGGGGAGCAGAACCTCGACGAGGCCCCAGAGCGCTAACAGGAGGGGCCTCGAAGCTGCCTTAGAGGGTGGGGTTAGAGGAAGATCCTTAGAAAAAGGACCTAAGCTGGGACATTTCTATTTTTAATTTTTACTCAATTCCTAAAACATCAAAGTAGCACATTTGTTACGGGGGATTCCCACCATTTTCGGACCCCTTTTCGGGCACAAAGCGGAAAACCCTTTCTAGCGTCCTTAAAGTTGATGCGCGGACTGGAGAAAAGGCCACAAGTTGCACTTTGAATTCTCCGAGGAATTTTTAGGAGTCCAACGCTTTCAAAGAGCTTTAAGAGCACAAGCGGGAGCGCCCAGTGATCGCCAAAGCATCAAAAAATAAGTGCGCTTCCCCGAAACGGACGCCCATCACTTCTCCCCCGACTTTCTTTTTTAGCCTTTTGTGGAGTTCAAGAGTGTTGCCAGGGCTTAAGGACCGCGGCTAAGTGCCGCATACCACCCAGCCACGGGTGCGAGCCAGCGCGGCACGCGCGCGCGGCGTTTAGCACCGTTCGGAGGGACCCCGGAGCCTTTCCCTGCATCCCTGACAGCTGCAGCCGGGAAACCCGTGCTCGGAGTTTATCACCTCGGTGCCCGAAGGGGCCCGGGACCCTCAGGTCCGCGCAGAGCGCGGCAGCCCACCCACAGCCACCCACCCCGCGGCATTGCCGCGCCACGTCCCCCCCGAAAGTGCCCCGATCGCCCACCTACTTACCCACCCGAGCTGGACTCAGGCGAGGCCACCCCGCTCGCAGCCTACGCGGCCATGTCGGCACCCCGGAGGTGCCCGGGTCTCCGCTCTCCTCCCGCTTGCCGCGAGCCCCCGTGCCCGCGGCTGCGCCTCCCGCTGTGGTTCTCCCGCCTGCCAGGCGAGTGAGGACGGAGAACGCCCCAGCCGCGGCTTTATCAAGGCTCGGGGCGGTCCCTGCCCCAGCTGAGTGACAAATCGCAGAGGCCGTGGGCTTTGCCGCGCAACAAGGCAGCCAACGGGATGGCTGCACGGACGAGGCTGCGGGAGGGGCTGCGAGAGGAGCTGGGTTCCCCCCCCCCCCGTGTCACGTGGGAGCAGGAGGCCCCGTTTGGAGCTCAGGGGTCTGCGGGGGAGGACAGCCACGCAGGCAGCCCGCCACGGTGACTCATCGGCTGTATGCGCAAAGCCAAGGTCGCCTAGGTGCCGCGTTGGCGCAGGTAGCCTCACTCAGCCGTGATGAGGGTTGATTGCGCCCGTTCTCCCCCCCCCTACCCACCTACCCAGGATGATCCACCCTCAGCCACATCGCAAACCAGAAAACTGGCAGGGTGGGGTGGGGTGGGGTGGCGGGGTATGCATCGTGAGCTGGAGCTTGCAGCCAGAGGCCGAAAAAACTTAGTCCCTGCGTGATCGGTGGTACCACGGCTGGTGTGGGCCACACCGGGTTCTAACAGCTTTGAGGGTCAATATCCCAAGTCCCATGACAGCCCCCCCCGAGAATCCATACTCTCCCTGTTGACTAGCAAGAAAACAAGATGGATTGGAAGCAGTTTTTTGCGGCCACAGGCTCGCATTGTTCACTCTTTAAAGACATTTAAAATATTTTATATCATTTGAGTTTACAAGGAGCCCAAAGCGAATCTCCAGCATTTGCTTTCGTCCTTCTAAGGCTGTGCTTATTAGAGGTCCGTGAATGTTAAGTGGGAAAAGTAAGGAACACGGCCGTTTCCGACTCCTTTCAGTTTCACGGTCTCCGAAGCGAGAGAGGCGGTTAATCTGCGCGCTCCCTTTCTCCTACCCTCACCCCAGACTCCATTGCTTTAGGCTCCTTAGCAGCTAAACGTGCGGTCTCAACTCGAGATTTCAAGGAACATGATGGTCACTGTAGTAAGCCTTTCCCGGATTGCACTTATCTGGTAAAGAAAGCGGGCTATCTTTTTCCTTAAGGCCATTTTTCTTAAGTATGTGACTTCCACGATAAAGAAAAATAGGCTTTTCTCTTTACATGTCGATTAAAAAAACACGGATATTTTGAATTCACGCCTTATAAAATCTCACAGAACCCAAAAGCAATTTCTTTGTAGATTTTTTTTTTAAAGGCAGGGGTCTCGTGTAGGCCAGGTTGGCCTTGAACTCCTGATTGTCTTGCCTCCACCTCCTAAATGCTGGTATTACATGCTTGCAATACACTGCCTTACTGAAGAAAGATCTCCGTGTAAAGGCCTGAATCCTGCATACGCGTTCCTCAGAGGTCAGTCGGTTTTTCTGCTTGAATGCCTGAAGAATTATTTATCAACCACCGAACGGCCTTCCCCCGCCCCCCCCCATCCCATATATATCGTGATCTTTTAATTTTTGAGTTACATTCTTTAATGAGTTTAATATTCCATTCCTGTTACATCTGAACTGGCTTCCGTGTTAGGACTGAGCGTTGTTTTTATAGACTGTTTCTCCTGTGAATTCCTTAGGTTTAAGGCAAGAACGGGTGATAGGAAGACAGCACATGGAAACAGCTAGGATTGGAAATACAGCTTGCCTAGGAGCTTGCCTAGGCAACTCGGTAAATCGTACAGCCAGCCCTGCACCAGACCCCTCCTCGCTAGAAAGCAGCCCCTTTCCATGAACTCCCGCTGGGGTTTTCAGTAGAATACGGCACTCCAGGAGGTGAACTGAATGGCAGTATTAAGTGTTCCGTTTCCCGGACACTTCACAAGGATGCTACTGACTGCTTTCCAGTGTGCAAGATTTTTGTGACTTCTCAGGATTTAGTCTGATTTTTTTTCCCCCAACGTGTCTCAGAGTGGTGGGAAGACAGGATGGATATAGGCACATTGTGTGCACATGACACTTTAATAAATCTGAGCTCTGCTATCTATTCTCAAATTGGACACCATAAAACTGCCGCAGGTAAAGCACATCTGTAATCCCAGAACTCCCTAAAGGCCAAAACAGAAGAATGGGAAAGTTCAAGGCCAGCCTGCACCATGTAGTGAGACCCTGTCTGGAAAAGGCAAAGAAAAATAAGACGGCAGGATTTTTTTTTTCTTTCCTTGGTTATTTTACCCACTGTTTTCTTTCCCTTGGGTGGTCTAATTGGGACTTTTTCATGCTTTCCTGAAATATGCTTATACAGGAATCTCTCATTGATAATAAATCATATGAAGCCTTTTTTCTATTATGCTATTTTCAGAGGTCTTTTTTGAATATGAATGGGTTGCCCTGGTATCCGTGACATCTAAACGTTCCCTCAGAAACGCCAAGTCCCCAAAAGGTTTTAGGACAGAGGTTGTAAATAAATCTCTACAAGGTCTAAACCAGTGAGGAATAATGGCGCTACACTAAAGTAGGGAAGAGGTGGGGGTGCTGTACAGCTCATGCTGGACTGCATGACTGCATGGCTGCAACTCAGCAGTGCCATCAAAGCTGTATTTTTTTTTTTTAAAGAATGACACATGATATTTTCTCAGGAAACCCTCTCATTTTTGAAACAGCACAGATGCCAAACATGTCTCTCATGGCGAAACTGAACCAGAGGGTCTCCACGGCGGTCCCTTCAGCAGTCAGAAACTCTGTAATTATTCTCTTTTTCTAAAGTACTTCCAAGCATTGTTTCATTCCACAGACTCTCCACTAACTTCTTAAAATGTCTTTATCAGGCAGGCATGGTGGCTTTATGACCCCAGCACTTAGGAGCCAGAAGCAAGAGGATTAGGTATTCAAGGCATTCAAGGTCTCCCTTGGCCACATAATAAGTTCAAGACCATACTGGACTACATGAGAATCTCGCAGGAAAAAAAGATTATTTTTCCTTATCAAACAAAACACCATGAAGACTGATGCTGAAATTTACTCTAGAATAAAATGTGTCAGAACACTTCACTATCAGGGACTCTTTCTTTCTGGGGGCAGCGGCTATGATGGTTCTAATATTTACACCATGTGAACAGACAGTTGATACAAAATATGAACACAATAACCAAATAATGGGCGACAGTATCATTTTTCAGTCATGTAGAAAAGACATTGAGCAAAATCTGACATTCATTCTTGAAAACAAAAAGTTGAGCTATAGGGGACCTTCCTTGGCCTGCTAATGGGTGGGCTCATTTCCTATAGCTGTCACAATAAATTACCACAAATGGCTGGTTCAAAACAAGAAACTTATTTTCTCACAATTCGAGAGGGCAGAAGTCTGAAACAACAAGTATCAGCAAAGACCACGTGCACCCTCTAGTGGCCGTTGAGGAGAATCCTTCCTTGCTTCCAGCCGGTTTGGGTAGCTGTTGTGCGGTTTTAGGGCCACTCTGTCCCCCTCTGCTTTCACCTCCAAATTGTCTTGATTGGTGTCTTACTATGACTATCTTATAAAGACACTTGTCATTGCACTGTCTTTAAGATCCACTTTAATTACTTCAACACAAGTATAGTACCTAATGTTTTCATTTGGAATTGCCTCAAAACTGGACCTATGGGTTTCCTGGTCCTTGCTGGACCTTAATCCTTAATTTAGAATGCAAAGCCCCCCCTCCACTCCCACTATATACAAAGTAGCCACCACAGGCCCCAGGGATTAGGACATGAATGTGCATGTGTTGGGGAAGGTGTTACCTTTTAATCCTCTGCACTGGTAAATCCAGATCTAATTTGGTTGTAGAATCTGGTGGACTGATTGTAACTTTATATGGAAACAAAAGAACACAGAGGAGAAAAAAAATAACATTAAAATATAGGTCTGAGTGTCCTTAAGAGGAGAAGGGAAAGGAAGAGGAAGAAGAGGGTGGAAGAGGGAAGTAGAGAGGGAGAATGAAAGAGAGAAGAGGAAGAAGGTGGAAGAAAGATGGGAAAGGAGGAAGAAGAAAGGCAATTGGAAGGCAGATGCAATCTGGTCTTCAGGTTTCCTATAAAACTATAAAAACTGAGACTGGACGGGACTAGCATCAGAAAAAAAGGCAGCAGAATACTGAGTCCAGACAGGGCCTTATGCAGTCCATGCTAGTTAGCCTTGACCTTGATATGTATTGGGGAACGACCCTGAACTCTTTATCCTCTAGCCTTTACCCCCTAAGTGCTGGGATGAGAGAATGGTATGATCATCACTCTCAGCTTACGACCTGTTGATTTTCTGGCAGAAGTATAATCAAACTGGGAAAAGGAATAATGGTGTGGGAACTGGTTGTTTACATGGGGGGGGGGGGGGGGGATCCTCTACTTGCATTTAAAACAAGAAAATGAAATCAGACTAGATCACAGATCAACATAAAACATAGGCGAGATACCATTTCCAAAACTGCTTTCTTCATTACAATAGCCGCTAGTCTATTTAGCACTCTAACTGTGGCTAGTCCAAACTGAGATGAACTAGCCTGGGAAAATTATACTTCAGTTTTCAAGGACCCTGGATTAAAAACAATGCACAGTGTCTCGTCAACAATTTCACAGCATGAGTGGCAAGATGGCTCGGCAAATAAGGGCTCTTGACACACAAACCTGATAACCTGAATGCCATTCCTGGTGGAAGGAGAGAACTGACTCCACAAAATTGTCCTCTGACCTCCACAAGCATGTTGTATGGCACTTGTGTGTCCCACTACACACAACAAATACATTAATACGTGTTAAAAATAATTTTTGTACTGATGACATGTTGAAATGATAATGTTTTAGATATATTAGCTTGAATAAAGCATATGACGAGTTTGCTGAAGGAAGCTGTTTTTACCATTTTACTGTGGCTACTGGAAAAAAATCTAAGCTGATACGTATGACTCACACTTCTGGCAGCTCTTATCTAGACAAAACCCTGGGACAGACAGTTGTTTTGCAGGCTACACAAAACAATGATCCTGAAAGAATGAATTGGTAAGTGGATTTACCAAAAATAAAATCATCAGTTCTTCAGAAGAGACCACTTAAGAAGATGAGAACACAAGCCTTG